TGATAAATTTAACTTCCCGAGCATTCTCAGGAAATACAACCTCTTCTGTGCCTTCTTCATTAGCATGTTGGCATTTATAGTCCATGAGAGGTCCTCTGAGATGTAAGTACCCAGAAATTTAAAACTACCAACTCTCTCCACTTCCTCACCGTTTATGTACAGTGGTAAATGTACATTTCTCTTCCTCCTAAAATCAATTATGAGTTCTTTAGTTTTTTTGATGTTAAGTGTGAGATGATTTTCTTTACACCAAAGTATCAACCTTTGTACTTCCTTTCTATAAGCAGACTCATTGTTCTTATTTATGAGCCCCACCACTGTCGTATCATCTGCAAATGATACTTCTTCTGTGTTTGACCACCACTCCACTTTCTGGGGGGACGTGGTAGCGCTGCGGGTTAAACTGGAGAAGCCTTTGTGTGCTGCAGGGTCAGAAGACCAGCAGTCGTAAGATCGAATCTACGTGATGGAGTGAGCTCCCATCACTTGTCTCAGCTCCTGTCAACGTAGCAGTTTGAAAGCATGTAAATGTGAGTAGATAAATAGGTACCACCTCAGTGGGAAGGTAATGGCGTTCCCTGTCTAGTCGCGCTGGCCACATGACCACGGAAACTGACTTCGGACAAACACTGGCTCTATGGCTTGGAAACGGGGGTGAGCACCGTGGCCTCGAGTCAGAGACGACTGGACTAAATGTCAAGGGGAACCACTTTCTTAGTGGACAAAAGGTCAATCTAATTTTTATTCTTCCCAACATAGAAACATTCAAGGGCAAAAAGCGCAAATGATGAACTGTTGCACAAATTCACTGAGTTAAAGTCCCATTTCTTAGGATTGCAGAATGTCATGCAGTTTCTTTAGTTTGCAGTCTTATCAATAATTATTTAACAATTGTCAAGTACAGAAGATGAGTTTTAAATTATTCCTGTTAGATTTAACTTTAGGCTGCCAAACGTCCACAAAACAACATTCAGATGTATAGCAAACTATGATCCAACCAATACACATGGAAAGTTGTTAAGCATCTTTGTGATTGCTACATCCAGAAGAAGGGCAGTCATGGAGACTATTACTAGGCATTGTTACTGTCCCACACTAGCCTTTTCCCATTGCATTCTTTTGTTTATGCAAATTGCAGTGTGGAAGAATTCACTAGGAATCAAAACTCTGAATCTAATGTGCCATCTGTAGTTAAGATTAGATGCTGTCTGACTTGGCAAATTAAATGCTGTGACGACAACAAGTCACAGCACAGCCCACATACAGTAAATGATCTTCACTTTGGAAGATTATTTATGAGTTTATTTTTTCTAAGTAAGGCCTTTCTTATTTCCAAACCAAGCCACCAGTTTATAAGACATTAATAGACAAGGTTCTTAAGAGGATAATGATGCACAAGATCTCCCAAATTATTTTATCTGATCATAAAGAAAATAAAAGTGTATTTAAAAATGCTTTTTAAAAAAATCATCAGGGGAGGCTTTTTCTCAGTCCCTCCACCCTCGCAGGTATGCTTGGTGCAGACACAAGACAGAGCCTTCTTTGCTACTGTTCCCAGACTCTGGAACTCCCTCCCACAGGAGACCAAACTGGCTCTATCTTTGTTGCCCTTCTGCAAGTAGATGAAGACCTTTATCTTCCGGGAGGCTTTCCTTCGTTGCTGACTATCTATGAGAAAAATAAACAGGATGGTTTGTGTAAGCTGCCTTGGGTCTCTTTTTTAGAGAAAGGTAGGGAATTTTTTAAAAAAAAAATAAAATAATAAACAAATATCAAGGGACTTTTGTCTAAGTGCTAAGGATGTATCTGTGAAGATTCTCAATCATCCAGGTGAGTTTATTTGGAATCTGCATCATAGTAACTGGACTTCTTTCTTATTAGGTTGAAACATTTTGCTACTTATCCAAGTAGCTTCTTCAGTCTGAGGAGAGTTGGTAGGAGATCCCTCCACTTTGGTTTCACTTCCTCCTGGTCTGTATAGGTTCATTAGATGGACAAAGGACGGAGGAGGGTCAGTGAATATCCCACTTCTGCAGTCCTTCTCTACCCATTGTCATGGGTCATTAACAGAGGTCTTTTTTGTGGGTGTGGTCCTGCTCTTTCTGGGGATGGATGAAATGACAACATGATAAATAGGAGACATGGAAGAAGTGGAAAAGAAGGCACTGAACACCTTCCAGGGAATGACTCCAACCCATTGGTTCAGGTATGTGGAAGGCACCTGGGTGAAGATCAAGATTCAGGAAATACAGGCCCTCCCAGACCACATTAACTCAGTGGACCCAAATATCGAATTCACTAGGGAACACCAAAGACAACCAGCTGGCTTTCCTGGACTGGGCAGTAATCACAGGATCCAATGGCAGCTTAGGAACAGAAATCTACAGAAAACCTGCACACTGATCAATACCTGCGGTTTGACTCTCCTCACCCATTGCAACACACACTAGAGGTCATCAGGATGCTAAACCACAGAGCAAGAAACATTCCCACCTCTAGAGAAGCCAAGAAGAAGGAAGATGGGACAGCTGAAGACAGCCCTTAAGGCCTGTGGATGTCCAAAATGGGCCTTTAACAAAGCAATGTCCCAACCCAGCAGAACAAGAGAACAACTTGAGAACCAGAGCTGACAGAAGAACCTGGTCACTCCTTACACGGTGGGTGTGTCTGAAATGCTGAAAAGGGTTTTTGGTAAACACCACATACCAGTGCACTTCAAACCCACAAACACACTAAGGTAGAGACTTGTCCGCCCAAAAGACAGTACACCAAAACACAAGAGGAGCAATATAGTGTATGTGGTCCAATGCAAAGAAGAGTGTTTGGAACTCTCTCTACATTGGAGAAACCAAACAGCCACCAGCACAGGAGGGGCAAATGGCTCAGGATCACATTCAGCAATAGCAATGTTCCTTCATTTGTAGGACAAAGGACACTCGTCTGATGATCAAGATGTATTCATTTTGGACCAAGAAGATAAGTGGTTTGAAAGAGGGGTCAGGGAGGCCATACATGTACATATAGAAAATCCCTCACTCATCAGGGTGTAGGTCTCAGACAAATCTATCTTCTATTTCTTATTTTACCCTTTCATCCCTCCCCCCAAAATTAGGATCACACCCACCAGAAAGACGACTGTTAATGACTGTTAATGATCCATGACAATGGGTGGAAAAGGACTGCAGAAGTGGGATTTTCACTCAACACCCCCCCCCCCCGGTCCTATTCAGACTAGGGGGAAGTGAAACCAACGTGTACAATATATGGTCCACCTACCAACTCTCCTCAGACTAAAGAAGCTCCTTGGGTGAGTAGCGAAATGTTTCAACCTAATAAGAAGTCCAGTTGCCATGACTCAACTTCTGAATGTTAAGGATGTAGAATCTTTCCTCTGACCCCAGAATTTCCAGAACGTTTACCAATTTTCCCC